AGTGGCATCTGTTACAGGGGCTGTCGTGTGTGTATACACAGCTCCATGTGCACATCAAAAACATTGTGGGAACACTGGACTGTCAGTATTGTGGAACAAAAATTGTGTCCTTTTTGCGTAAAACAATGGTGCATCAGATCCTATGAAAAATTTAGGAGCTGGCATTTAATGCAAGCTAGAGTGTAAATGATGGTTTGGGCTTACAGTTCATGCAGGGTTCGACAAATGCCAGGGCCTAGAGCACAGTTGCACCTTAAAAATGCGTTCTGGTGCCTGGAGCAACAGCAGCCATCCAGCATTCACATGTAAAAATATTCCCATTGGTACACTACAGCTGCTGTTCAGCTATCAAAGTCAGGGCTGAAGCTGCATAATCAATCTCTACTGAAGCCTGGAAAGCACTAGCAAGCCTCAGAGGTAGAACTGTTGAGGCTCATGAGCTGATTGGTCAGGCTGCTGCAATTCTGCAGCTTTACGCAGAGGTTTCAGCATTCAAAATGTTGGGAGTTTATGTGGTATTCAAAGTTGTACATCCTTCCATTCAGCCAGAAAATCCCTGTTGCCACCTAGCACTTTTCTCACATGTTTTATGGCCTATTGTGCACACACACCTTACTGCAGATTTTCAGAGCAGTAAGCCTTTAATCTTGACTTCAGATTCTGTGTCCACCTTACACACCATTCTTTTTCCTCCGGTGTATTTATTCTGCAGCTACAATGAAATAACTGCACTTTTCTAAATCAGGTTGGAACATCACTTGTAACATGTGGGGGTGATGTCCAAAGTATTTTATAAACGTACAGAGTTGCCCTATCACAGCTGCGCAGTAGCATCCAACAAGAGCCTTCCATTTTAATGCTTGTGGTTCAGGTTTTGCGCATGCATTTTAGCATTCGTTCATTGAATGAAAGGGAACAAAGGAACAGAGGTAAAAGGGTGGGGGGACTGGTGTGGAAACTGACACGACTTTTTAAAAAACTGACAAGCAGCTGCACAGCTCCATTTTCCCTATTGCCAAGCACTAGGGGATTATCTGTTGTTTTATCAGCCAGTGTGAGAAATGGGAGTCACACGATCTCATGATATGGGGGAACATGTTGAGTGTACAGAATGCATGGTAGAACCCACTGACATTGGCATTGCAAGCTGTGATCATTGGCAACGTGTGTGTATGTTTGCATGCTCCTATGCAAAGTCAGCTGCAAGTCCACACTTTGTACAAGGCTGCAATATGTATGGGGGAGGAGTCCTCTCGTAGAAGCTCTGGAGAGCTTTTTTAGTCTTATGCCACTAAATTGAAAAAAATGGGATGTTTTTGCTGATGCCCTAGCATAGCTGCATTGTTACACTAATTTCCTGCCCTTCTTTGCAAATTTGTGTGGTTTTCTCTTTGTGATTCTCTGATTTGATCCTGCACACTGGCAGTTTTTAAAACCCTGTCCTGTGCTTATTAGGAGCTGCGGTGGCTCAAGTGGTTAAGATGCTGAACTGCAGGCTGTGGAAGGTCGGTAGTTCAGCAGTTCGAGACCCGAGTGTGCCGCATGACAGAGTGAGCTCCTCTCTCTAGTTCCAGCTCCTGCCAACCTAGCAGTTTGAAAGCAAGACATTGCAAGTAGATAAATAGGTACCACAACAGTGGGAAGGTAACAGCGTTCTGTGCGCCTTGGTGTTTAGTCATGCCGGCCACATGGCCACGGAAACGTCTTCGGACAGCGCTGGCTCTTCGGCTTTGAAACGGAGATGAGCACCGCAACCCTAGAGTCGGATTCGACTGGCTTTCGAGCAAGGGAACCTTTACCTTTACCTTACCTGTGCTTATTTGCACTCTGTTCTCCCAAGTGATTTTTAAGTTTGGAGGTTTGCAGAAAGTCCATGTAGCTCAGTCTCCATTTTAATGTTTGGTTTCTGGATACTGCCAAAATGATCCCCCAAAAAACTTTGTTCACTAAAACATTAAAGGGGAAAATGTTTTCAAAACTTTAGGCTTCCCATCCAAGTGTCTGTCACTCTTTACAACTCATGTGAATTTCATTCCATGTTGACAATCCCCCCCCCTTTATTTTGTTTGCATACAGCACTGCAGATGCTGTTCTTTGCCTCCTCTCCAATACCCCTTTCCAGTCAATACCAGCAGGGAACTAAACCTCCTGCAGCTCTATTTAAAGTTTCCCCCGTTGTTTTATTTTTTTCTCTTCAGTAATCTGAGACTAGTGAGAAATTTCTCCACTTTCCAATAAATAAGACAGATGGACTCCCATCCTAGCTGTATCTGAAGAAGTGAGCAGTGACTCATAAAAGCTCATACCCTCCCACATATTTTGTTAGTCTTTAAGTTGCTACTGGACTCTTGCTATTTTCTATTGCATCTAATAAGATTGTTTCCTCGTGGGAGCTTCGTCAAGGTCCACATTTTATTTTTGTGTAGAACATCAATCTCCTCTTGTGCTGGCTTCTTCCACCTGCTGACTTCAGTTGCTGGCATTTGTTCTATTTCCTTCCAGGTAGAAGGTTCAGGTGGTAACACCAGCCTTACAAGGTAGGACAAGCACAAGGTTGGTATACCTTTGTTTGGTCATGATGAGTATTGAAGGTGTAGTTCTGTATTTTCATCTGCTGTCACAGAGCTGTCCAGTCCGCCTTTCTTCTCATTCTCACTTGCTGCTTCTTCCTGTGTTGTACTGCTGTGAATCTCTGGCACGATTGCTTCAGAATCTGCCTTTTCAAGTTGTTTGTCTTGTTCTGATTCTTCATCATTGCGCACTGGTTCAAGGTCCAAGAGCCGGTATTGGTTATCTGCTTTTTCTGAGTCACGTGATGAAGTCCCTTCCCTGCTGACTCTGCTTTTATCAAAGTGAATCACATGCCTGACATAGACTTCACCTGTTTCTGGGTACAGCACTCTATACCCTCTGTACCCCTTTTCACTGTGTTCAGCTTTGTAGCTACCATGTGAGGGCAATGCTTAATGAAAATGCAAAAGCTGAAGGAAGAACTAAACAGGGTTTCCCCCCCATATTCAGTAATTGATTCATCATATACTTTACTTCTCCTCCCTATGATGAGCTGATTTTCGAGAAAACAAACTTTGGTCAGTGTGTACAAGTCTCAGAATAAATCCAAGGTGATGTGTAAAAATATGAAGGGGATGAAGCAGGAGGAATTGCAAAAGATGTTACAGTGTGAAGTTGTCAAAAAGACTAAGTATTTAGGTATTGATTTGACAATGAAGAATATAGACCTTTTTAAGAATAACTATGACAAACTTGGTCATAAATACAGCAGGACATAAAAAATGAAATACCTTAAATTTGTCGCTTTTGGGGAGAATTTCTGTGGTGAAAATGAACATTTTACCACGTTTGATGGGATTTTTTTCAGACAATCCCAATAGTGAGAGATGTAAAAATATTAAATGCTTGGCAAAAAGAAATTTCAAAATTTGTTTGGGCAGGGAGGAAACCGAGGATTAAGATGAAGATACTATGCGACGTGAAAGAAAGAGGCGGACTTCAGTTACCAAATCTAAGATTGTATCATGAAGCAGTTTGCTTAACTTGGTTGCAACAATGGATTACGTTGGATAATAGAAAACTGTTGGCATTAGAGGGTCATGACTGTAGGTTTGGCTGGCACGTGTATTTATGGTATGGAAAAATGAAAATGGACAGCTTTTTTAGGCACCATTATATAAGGAGGACATTATTTGATTCTTGGACTAAATACAGAAGGTACTTTTCGGATGAGAGACCACTTTGGATAGTGCCGGCGGAGGTACTTAAACCACATTCAATACATAGAGGAGAAGACTGGTTGCAATATAGAGACATTTTGAAACCTGTGGGAAAGACATTTGAATTGAAGGCGGTAGAAGATTTGGATTTTAACTATGACTGGTTACAATATAGACAGATTCATGACTTGTTTAAAACAGATAAGAGAGCGTTTGGGTTTAGGAAAAAGAATAACGAAATTGAAAATGTGTGGATTGAAGGAGGTAAAAAATTGATATCTAAGATGTATAAGATACTGTTACTATGGTACACAGAGGATGAGACAGTTAAAGAACAGATGTTAAAATGGGCAGTTAATATGAACAAAGAAATAGATATGGTAACCTGGGAATTTTTATGGAAAAATGCAATGAAAATATCAACGTGTAATAGTTTAAAAGAAAACTGCTATAAGATGATGTATAGATGGTTGTTGTTGTTCAGTCGCATGGTACATGACACCAAAAAAGATTGCAAATATGAATAGTAATATGTCAAACAAATGCTGGAAATGTAAAAAATAGAGGGGTCTTTATCACATGTGGTGGACTTGTGATAAAGCAAAAAGTTATTGGGCTGAGATACATAGAGAAATGGAAGAAATTGTGAAATGTAATTTTAAGAAAGAACCTGAAATATTACTGTTAGGACTTAAAATGGAAGAAGGCAATGTGGGGAAAAGGACCTTGATGTGGTATATGATTACAACGGCTAGAATGACATGCTCAATGTTGGAAACAAGACAGAATTCCAGAAATCGGGGATTGGATAAGGAAATTATTGTTTATGGTTGAAATGGACAAAATGACAAGGAAACTTAAACAATCTTGAAGCAGAAGAATTTTATGCAGACTGGAAAGATTTTAAAGATTACCTAGATAAATATTGGGATGTAAAGGACAGTTTAATTTGCTTTGACAGTTATTGAAAAGTAGGTGTTATTAGAAAAAAGTTAACTATAAGAGAACAATAGGTGAAAGATATGTTACCGATAGATTATGACTATAAGAGAAAACAGAAGAAAAATTAAGAAATGGGCTGGAGGTTGGAGCACTGTGGGAAGAATAGAGGAAAGGATGTATAACAACTAAGAATATAATATGTATTTGATTTAATAATATATCCTAATAGTTTTTGAAGAGAATTTCAATTTTCTTGGTTCAGAATTTCCTCTCACCCCCTTTTGATAATCATGTTTTAATTTTTCCATGCTGTTTTCTGCCCAATAGGTTCCAATGGCATCTCATAAGGAATCAAAATGTCCTGAAGGATCAACAAGTAAGCATGTAATTAATGGAGCTGGAGCTCCCCAAGCACAATGGGGAAGAGCTTGGTAAGAGATCCCTGCTACTGCTAATAAGTCTTTGTGTGGTAACTTTAGCTATTTTATATTTTTTAAAAATCTGCTTTAAGTACAGAAACATCACAAGGTGTCAGACCACAAGGATACCCTAAGTCTTTAATTCCCAATTTTAACATAAGGCCAAATTCATACACCTGGAGCATGTTAAGGCACTGCCAAGTGTATGTAAGACCAGTGGAGAGGAGAGCGGGGAAAGAAGTGGTCTTCTGTGTCCGTTGGGGTGTTATTCTATGTGCATCAAAGCTATCTGAGTGGTGAGAAAATGAACAGATAATACCGAGAGTTTCTTTTAGAAGCCTACTTAACACCCTCCCTAAGTAGTAGACTTTGGTAAGAGTTCGGATGCAAGATCCTCTTACGTTACATCCTGAATACTTATGGAGATCTGTGTCCTTGCTTAACTTGCAGTGGAAATTGCACAAATATGAATTTAGTGTCTATTCATCAAGCTCTATAATGGTCTCCTATTATTAGAGCTTATATAGGAATGTGTATTTAATATTTATGCTTTATTAAAGCTTTATTAAAGCTTTCACATAACTGCATATGAACATTTAAGTTTAAATTAGCTTAACAGAAAGAAAAGGGATTGCTTTTGTGCTTTAAATTAGACACAGTGGCACCCATCCATGGCTAGATTAGCAAGAATGAATCAGGGTATCACTGATTCATTAATAATCGATATTGGATGACAATATTCGTAATGCTTTCAAGCAGAATTGGGTATAATGTTGTTGATGCACCTGACCTTTTTGTTTCCATTCCCCCCAAAATTTGGGTGATAGCTCTATGTATCATAACAGCTGCTAGAATGATCCTAACCAAACTCTGGAAACAGAGAAAAATCTCAACAAGAAAATCCTTTTTGGATAAGGTTAAGGACTTTTATTTATATATGAAGGCATCAGCCTTCAAAAAAAAATTAAGATGTACTCTGCATGTTTAAATAATGATAAAACAAATAAAAAATGGACATGGTACAATGTTACTATAGTCATGAATCACAAGAAGAGGTAACTCTACAAACTAAAATTTATAGTCAATGCAGTGTTTTGTAGATCTGCAACTCTTCCTTTAGATCTGCAACTCTTCCTCTTTTGTCTCTGTTTCAGGAAAGTTGACTGGTTTTCCCTGTTGTCTGTCATCTTTCTACTCCTGTTTGCACCCTTCATTGTATATTATCTTATAATGTCATGTGATCAGTACAATTGCTCCTTAACTACTCCAGCCATTGACTTTTTTACTGGGAAAACCCACCTCTCGAATATCTGGAACAGGATGCCATCATTAACCTGGACAGCTGTGAGCCTCTATATCTCTTGGGTACTTTTTCAGGTATGTGTCTGGGGTTTCTTTCTTAAGTTGCAATAGGATGTGAACACTGCAGTCTCAGGTATTCAGTCAAAATCTAATCAGAAAGCCATTTTCAAGAGTTGTCAAATCTCCCACTTTAAATACCTTGAGAATGTATGGTGGTGGTAAACGTGGTCATTTCCCTCTTTTTGAACATAAACAAGCAATCACCCGAGTCTCCTGTCTGATTTTCCACTGAAATTCTTATTAGCCTTTACTCCCATCTTCTTCTGCACCTCCCTGATCAACCTGTCTCCTTGGTTTCCTCTTTATCCATTCTCCCCTCTTCTTTCCCTGCTCCTGGCCAACTTTGCTAGGTAAGTTAGAATGCCTTATTGCAGGGGTATCAAATGTGTGGCCCGTGGGCTGTATCTGGCCTGCACAGGACTCAAAACCGGCCCCCAAGCAACTTCCTTCTCCTGTTTCCTTTCCCAGCCACACCCTAGCTTGCATTTTCCCTAGCTCTCTCAGTGGCTCTTTGCTTCCTGTTTGCTGCCTCTTGCCCCCCCCTCCCTCTCTCTCTCTCTCTCTCTCACTCAGACACACACACACAGAGATAGAGAGAGTCTCCTGGCTGCTTCATGCCAGAGAGATAAAAAGACATGCCTGCCTGCCCCCCCCACACACACACACTCATGAACAGAGAGAGAGAGAGATTGATTCTGCTGTCTTCTCTGGGGCTGCTCTTTGGGGAGGGAGGAGGAGGAAAGAGAGAGAGAGAAAAAACAAAACTGGAGTCCCAGCTTTAAAACCAACAACATTTTATTCCAGGTATAAGCTTTTGTGTGCAAGCACACTTCTTTGGAGGGAGAGATGGAGGGTGGGTAGGTGGATGGATTCTTCTGACAAACAGTGTTCTTTAAAGAAATTATTTTGGCTTATTCTGAAAAGTTTCTTTTTTAATGACTGGATCTGTGGGATTTGTTTTCTTTCAAAAACACCCTGATTAGGAATTAGAACACTTGAATTGGTCTTTATAGTTTGGAGAGTGGAGTGATGCCAAATGATAATAGCACACTTTGGTAGACATACCATTTATATTTATATTTGGATCAGATGACGGAAGGATTATAGCAATTACGATTGTAAGGAACGGGGGAAAACTGTTGTTAATTAAAATTTATGCACCAAACCAGAATCAAAAACCTTTTTTTCAAAAAATACAAACAATCTTGAATACAGTGGAGGTGGATAATATCTGTATAATAGGAGATTATAATGCAGTTTTAGATATGACGCAGGATAGGAAACATTGTAGAAAAGGACTTAAAATGGGAGGTGCATTACCCAAGATTTTTATGCAAATAGTAGAAGAATATAATTTAATAGATGCGTGGAGAACGAGAAATGTTAAAAAATGGGATTATACATACTATTCTTCACGGCATAACTCGTGGTCAAGGATAGATATGGCCTGCATCTCTACTAATATGATAACGGATATGATAGAGTGTGAAATACAACCGAATAGCTTTGCAGACCATAATCCAATTATGCTTTCGTTAAAAGAGGAAATTAAGAAAAATAGATGCGTAATAAAGACTACTTAGAGACCCAAAATTTGTGCAAAAATGTAGAAAGGAGATCTCAGAATTTTTTCAAATAAATAAAGACACGGACACGTCAATGGAAACTAGATGGGATGCGTTTAAATCATACATGAGAGGCTGTTTCATCAATGAAAATGCATGGAAAATTAAACAGAAGAGAAAGAACTATGAACAGTTAGTGCAACAAATAAAAGTACAAGAGAGTATTGTAAAAAATCTAATAGATATTAAGACTGCAAAAATGAAACTAAATTTCCTCCATCATAAAATGAACTTATTGTTGAATCAGGAGATAGGGAAAAAAATTGAGTACACTAAACAGTACTATTTTGAAAACATAAATAAGCCTAATAGATGGTTATCCTATAAAGTAAGAAAAGAACGAGAAAAAAGGACGATAACTAAATTACGAAATGATAAAGGGGAAGAGAAATTTGACTTAACAGAGATCGAGATGATAGTGGAAAATTTTTAGAAACAGTTATACCAGCGAGACGTACAAGAGGAAGAACAAATGATAAGCTATTTGAAGGAAAATGTGAAAAAAATTAGTGAGCGACATAGCAGTGCAATCTTCCCATTATATTCCCCGGCCCTTCCTTGCTCGCCAAGTAGGCGAGCCAGGAGAGAGCCGGGGGGGGGGGCCTCCAGAAGCAGACCGGCTGAGGAAGCAAAAAAATGGGAGAGAGGCATCTTCAAAAGCCTCCCTTTCCCTTCCCCAACCCGGCTCGCCAAGCTTAAAACGCCCCCCTTCCCCTCCCCCAGCCGGCCTGCCAAAGCGGGCAGGGGGGTGGGGGAAGCAAAGAGAGAAGGGATTTAAACAAAAAGCAAAAAGAGAAGGGGCCCCATAGAATATAATGGAAAGATGACTCTAGAGAGAAGGGGTTTAAACTTTAAACCCCTTCTCTCTTCGCTCCCCCCACACACACACAGCCCGCCTTGGCAGGCTAGCTGGGGAAGGGGAGGCTTTTGAAGATGCCACCCCCCCTTTTTTGCTTCCCCTTCTGACATCACTTCTGGTGATGTCAGGGGGCATGGCATATGCTAATGAGCTATTATGCCAATATTTATTTATTTATTTATTATATTTATACCCCGCCCATCCTGCGAGCAGGCTCAGGGCAGCTAACATAGCCTATTAGATATGCTAATGAGCTCCTGCAGCTCGTTTTCTACGAAATGACCCCTGAAAACAATACCTTAAAAGAGGATTACTATAAAAGAGAAATATACATTGTTTTCAGGGGTCATATAAAACCAAGCATTTTGCAGACTACATAATATTGCATAATCTTATATAGAACAATTTGTTACAAAGTGTTGCTCATTTTGATAGTTTTTCCTGTTGTAGCTTTATAGCTGATTGTAAAAACATGGCTACCTTCACTGATATTTCAGGAGCAGAGTCATTCAGAAGATGGTGAACTTTTAAAGCATCAGGAAGGTCAGTCATGTTGCCTAAAATAGGGTTTAAATATCTATCTGACCAGCTAGTGAGCTCTGAGGTCATAGGAACACAAATGAATAGCATGACTTAAAACATACACGGCACCCCACCCAGCCACACCCCCTTCCTCTGCTAATTCCCGTTTTGTATAGTGAATGATCCTACAAGTCTGTGAGAATTCTTCCACAGCCCATAAATCTTAAATGATGGGGGGGGCCTCACTTGTATGGGGTGAGTACCAAATACTTCTGGCAACTCTTCTGCAGTCCCAAAACTGGCCCCAGTACTGTCGGAGCCTCTCTCCAGTCTCATGGGTATCCCTTCCTTTTCCATTCCCCACCTTTGCTGTGTTTGCACCATATATGGAAGTGTGGCTGAATATTCTAATCTAAATGAAGAAAATTTGTACAGAGAGTGTATGTGAGTTGTCCTTTGAAAAATGTGTCATGTGCATTTAGCTACTGATGCTTATATAGAGAGAAACAATGCAGAGGACTTCTAATACTGACCAAGCAGAACACCACGCAGCAGCCATGTATGTCACAAAAACCTTTTCTCTTTGTACTCCTTAGCGTGGAGTGCATATATTAGGCTGATATGCTGTGTTGTGCACACGATTATACGGTAACTAAGCCCCTTTTTATTCATGTTATCAGTAATCATTCCATTGAGTTCTCTAGTGTGGAAATTGGTATGACTGCAGTATTCATACACAACCTAATTTCTACATGCAAAGTTGCTAGCCAGCTTCACAGCCTTTTATGTTAGGTCACATAATTTTGATATTGACACCACCTGGAACTTGTAGAAAGGTGCATTTGGTTTTAACACAAAAAACTAGTAAAACACATGGAACTTGGTTGTACAAATGCTGTATGGTTAACTTCTCTTCAGTCTGTGACCCAAAACTATCCTTCTCCAGTATTCATAAAAGAATATCTTAAAACTTTATTTTTAAACACATGCATTTATTTTTATCATGAGATGTTAATTTGTTCAGTATGGGAAGCAATCTTGTATTCAAAGTTATACCTGAAACCTTTTGCTTTTTAAAAATTCAAATAAAAAGCCCATGGAAACAAACAGCGTTCCTCGAAAGCATTCACCAGCCAGAGTTTGTGGAAGCCTAGAAACCTAGAAATAAATCCTAGAGGCAATATTTGTAATGTTCCCAACCACTAGTTGTCTATTCTAATTATTCATTTTCTCATAAATCCATTATGTTACAGGTAGTTTTGTACATGCTTCCTGACTTTGTCCACAAGTTAATTCCTCGCTATCGAGGAGGATTACAAGAAGGCACAGTGACGCCTGCAGGTAAATTCATTCTTCACTGTCATTACTTCACAACTGTTTCTAATGTGACCAAGGTCCACGCTTGACATGAGGCTAGAAGTTCTGTGAATACAGCTATCAGTGATTTAAGAAAAAAAGCAGGCAGCCCAGGTTTGATTCAGATCACAAATGGTACATGGCAGGGGAATTAAGCCCTTGTGCCAATTTTCCCACCTTAGGTACCTGTACATGGCATATAGAGAAGGCTTTATTTACATATTTACTTATAGTCAGCCTTTGGTCGCCCTCCAGATCGGCCCCTGCATACTTGCTACTGAAAGAAAAACATCACTGGGTTCATGGAGCTGTCATCATCGTGTCTAGCAAGGGTCTGGGAACACAGAATTTCTCATGGGCTTCTCTTAGAATCCTGATCTATGAACACACCAAGCTGGAAAAAAATGGCACTATCACGCACATCATTCAGTGTGTGGTTTTTGCGACGTAACAATTTCTGTCTCAGACAAAAAGCAACGTGCAAAATAGGCCTCAAAAAGAATTCTCAAAATGTGCGAGGGTGTGTGTGATCTCTTACCCTACTTTCCCTTCTCTTCTGCTTACATAGGCATGGCTGCTTGACTTCTGAGTTTCACTTAGAACACTTTGGTGAGGGACATTCATCAAAAATTTGTTTGGAATTCCAATCTGTACTGGATGACAAATGAATACTGGGGCTTGCCCTATGCTGTCTCTTTGCTTTATTTTTATGTTATTGCTGCTTTGCTGCTCCAGCTGTGACTTTCTAACTGTTCAAAAGATCTACCCTTGAACATCTTTGGCTGTTCCCCCTTACTGCCCCTTACAGTTGGTGCCTCTCCTAGAACAACTTAATGGTGTTCGTATCCATATCCAACCGCTTCTTCAAACCCAGTTTTGCTGTGAAGCGTTTTCCAATGACCTTAATCCTCCTAGGCAAGTTTAAGTTCAGGGAACTGCATTCACTTCTGTTAGTCCTTGTGACCTTTGTTTCTCCCTCTATTGCCTCTGGTGTCTTCCCCATTGTCTAATTTAGACTGTTAAATTCTTTAGGATAAGAGACTTTCTTTTTTGCTTATAAAAGCCTGAAAAGTATCTTGTACAACTGGTATCACTGGCTGTATAAATGATAAATAAACGAGAAACTGAACTACAAGTTGCCCATGTTGTGCTTTTGGGATGGGCAGTGAGTGTAGCATGTTCTGTTTGCAATATGTTCAAAGTAAGCTATAAAATGCCAGGGTGAAGATCAGAGATAAATCTTTGCCTTTCTTATTCATCCCTCCATCTCTGCTCAGCCTCCTGGCTTCTTCTCATGGAGATCTTCCTTTTGATACCAGATATAGAGATAAAAGTGTACATATCAGCAAAATCAAAGGATCTGCTGCTACATCTTTCTCATTTGGTATCTTTGCTGTACTTATCCATGTAAATGTTTGCCTTTTAGGTGTTATACTCAACTATGAGGTCAATGGACTTCAAGCCTGGCTTATCACACATGCATTGTGGTTTGCAAATGCGTACCACTTCCACTGGTTCTCACCTACCATCATTTTTGACAACTGGATTCCACTCCTATTGTGTGCAAATATTCTGGGCTACACAGTATCTATATTTGTATTTGTGAAAGCCTACTGGTTCCCCACTAACGCAAAAGACTGGTACGTTGAACATCATACTATATATGATATGCTGCTTTTTCTCCTCCACTAGTAACCAAAGTAAATCGTTATCAACTTTATTTTATTCGCTGCAAGCTATTATTATGCAAGTCTGTTTTGTAAACTTAATATAGTTGCAAAAATTGATCTACATTTTTTAATTTGTTTTGTGTTTGCACCATTTTAGCAAATTCACTGGTAACTTCTTCTATGACTTCATGATGGGGATTGAATTTAATCCTCGTTTAGGAAAGTGGTTTGACTTCAAACTGTTTTTCAACGGTCGCCCAGGCATTGTAGCATGGACTCTTATTAACCTCTCCTATGCAGCTAAACAAAAAGAATTGTATGGTCAAATAACAAATTCTATGATTCTCGTCAATGTCCTACAGGTAAGCACTCTCATTAAAATGCAGGTTGACTTCAAAATCTGGAGCTAAAAGAAAATATACTGTTAACTATATGGAGCTGCAGTAAATGTCCAGTATAATCCTGTGATTTCTGATTTTACAGTGGCTATTAAGGGGGTTCTGGGAGCTCACATAATCTGTGCATGTTTTCATGGGGGGGGGGTAGCTAACATACACACACTAGGCCTGTTTAGCACAAGGATGTAAAGTGCAAAACTTTCCCTCTGCTTTACTCCTTGTGTGATGTCTTTGCCCTGTGTAAGTAAGAGTCACTAAGATAAGTATCTGCCATCAGTCTCTGTCATTGGGAGTAAGTGCTGAATGACCAGAATAGTGAAAGGGGACAAAAACAAATGGAAGAATTGAGGATGATAATGATGATAGCATGCAAAGTGAATAACTTTCGAACAGCTTAATTAATTCAGTAGAGCCCTAAATTAGCTTGTTCATACACCCTTCCAAGGCCTAATTACACACAGTTTAACAAACCCTGAATTTAGAGCAATGAAAGTTCATTAGTCCTAAGAGAATAGTATTAGATGGCCTATGATTAACCATGGTAATCAAACAACCTTTTATTTTCCAGGGTCTATATGTCTTAGACTTTTTCTGGAATGAAGCCTGGTATTTGAAAACTATTGACATCTGCCATGATCATTTTGGATGGTACCTAGGCTGGGGAGACTGTGTTTGGCTTCCTTACACCTATACTCTGCAGGTATTGTCATATTCACACTACAGGATTCCATAAGCAAAGATTCTAGTAATGGAACCATTGGTTTATATTTAACGGGGTCTACTTTGGACATAAAGCTATCATTCATAAACTCCCAGGTCCCTGAATATTTTAGTGCAGTTGACACAATTATCTAAACTACCTGTTAAGGCAAAGTGGGGGATATTGTTATTTATCCATGTGCACAAGAAGATACTTATTATAAAAACTGGTGTTTACAGTTCCCTCCTTGACAGAGGAAATGTTCAATTTCTAGACTCGTGTCTCTTTTTAAAAAGTAAGAATGCTAGTAAAATTGAATGTGTTACTTACAGATTTTCTTCCTGCTCCTTTTCTCCTCAGGGATTATACTTGGTCTACCACCCTGTTCAGCTTTCCACAGGTAACGCAGTTGGGATTCTGCTATTGGGACTAGTGAGCTACTATATCTTCAGAATGACCAATCATCAGAAAGATCTCTTCCGTCGCACAGATGGCAACTGTAAAATCTGGGGGACAAAGCCTAAATATGTTGAATGTTCCTATATGTCGGCAGATGGGACTAAATACTATAGCAAATTGTTAATTTCAGGATTTTGGGGAGTGGCCCGCCATTTTAACTATACAGGAGACTTATTGGGGTCCCTGGCATACTGCCTGTCTTGTGGCTTTGAGCATATCCTACCTTACTTCTACATTATTCACATGACTATTCTTCTGGTCCACCGCTGCATTAGGGATGAACACAGATGTTCCAGCAAGTATGGCAAGGACTGGAAGCAGTATTGTGATGTAGTATCTTATCGGCTATTTCCAGGTGTTTTTTAAATCCCTAACCTTGGATGCTGGGCATAAAGAATATGTTTGAACCCCACCCTGTTTTTTTCAACAGAACAAGTTTTGGACACCTCCAAATAAATTTGGCTATTTTGAGATCCAAATCTCAAGACTGTTGTGCCACTAAAATGTTCTTTTTAAAAATGTGAGGGATGACTTTCTTATAACAATATTTTCTTTGTTGCTGATTTACCCACCCCCACCTGTCACACAAAACGCCTACTAACTGAAGATCAGTGAAGACTTGTTTGTAATAATATGGGTCCAATACCAACTGAAATGTCTCTTGCTTCATCTCCACTATAATGAATGGAAGCTGTGCCCAAGCTAAACTGGTATTTCACAACTTCTGTTGTTAACTTAAACTGCCATTGAAAAAGTACCACTTGCAGCAATGGAAACTGAAGGCTAGTGTGAGACTGCAGTGGCCTGACAACTGCCTTAAAATGGGTCTTGTATTCAAATTTGTACTTGTACTTAAATTTTTGGGTGAATTAGTTAAGAGGTTTTATATAGCATGATAAAGACCATTAAATACAGGAGGAAATAGTTTACCGTTCTGAGAACTAGGTTCCTTGTTTACTAGGAACTACTTAAACTGATATGCTTATGCAGGTTTTTCCCACTTTAAGAGTCCTCTTTTATGTGGAACTCCACAGCTCAGACTTGGGAAGAACTAGCTAGGATCTGAGATAGTAGGCATCAAATACAGATCTTTTCTAGAGCTTTCTTCATTAAACATGCTGCTTAAAATGGATTGAATCTAAAGGAAAGTTCATTTGCAGAAGATATAACTCTGGGCTATAATGTGATCCTGAGAGCTAGCTATACACAAGGGGAAATGTGTACATTTTTAAAAGTTAAAGACCCAATCACGTTGTATCCTGCCTTCACCAACTTTGATTACAGTTAAAACAGCAGTGTTTTGTACTCATTTTGAATGCAGTAGGCTGGAATGGAGTATTCAAAATTCCAAACTCAAAAGAGGGAGCAAGAGGGAAGAATGTAAATACAGTTAATATAACTGCCAACTGGTTCATCCAATTTTACCTGTGACCATGTTTTGTAAAAAAAATAAAACACAATCTGCCTTCATAAATAGAATTGCATCCAGTATTTTATCATAAAATTAAGGTAACTTTGTTTACTTACCAGATTTTTTATTTGTTGGGGTAGTTTTAAAGGGTGGGGGACACAAATTAACACGTGGAAAATTATATTCAAGAGTAGTATGGAATAGACTTAAACTATCAGACAGCCCTCCACCTCGGCACGCCCCGGGACCACGCAGCCCTTTACTCCCTCTTGGCAGCACTCCTTACCTGCTGCTGGAGCTGCCACCGCTGCCGCCGCCCAAGTGCCCACGGCGGGAGGAGGTAGGTGGGCGAGGGGGTGAAGGGCCGTGCGATCCCAGGGCGGAGGGCTGGCTGGCTCAGGCATCGGCAGCAGGGCACACTTACCTCCTGCTTGGCGGCGCCTGCAGCAGCTCCAGCAGCCTTGGCTTCCCCAGCAGGCGGCGGCAAGCATGGCCCCGGCGCGGGATCCCTTCTTCATGTGCCCGCTTTGCCGGCGCCTCTCCCCGCCGGCCATGGGTCGCTGGACAGGGTCCGGGCGGGTGGGACGTGGAAAGGAGCCTCGGGGATCGACGCTGGCTTTTGGCGGGGGGAGGCAAACTTCGGCACCCCCATCCAGGGCCCACCGCCCCATCCAGGGCCTCCCGCTCTAGGCGAGTGCCTAGTTGGCCTAGCGGGAGAGCCGGCCCTGCCTAAGGTCTTTGGAAGCTGGTGTTTCATTTTTTACCGCCCTATCTAGTATCAGATACTATCTATACAATATATTTAGTGCATTTTCCGTCACTGAAGGCTTGTGCTTTTTGAAACTGTGATTCCATTATTAGGGTTTTTCACTACTGAATGAAGCCATGCTTCCATATAATTTTCTACCCGCTAGATCATACCTACGTTTATAGGCTACACTTAAGCACCCTGTGCTGCCCCCAGCAGAGATTAAAATAGTAAAGCATAGCAAATTGCACTGTACCTTTAAATTTATAAGGATTCTGGGAAAGGTAGTTCTAGTAACCCTAAAGTCAGCTGGTTACTTGTAGTCTTCCTGATTGGCTCTATACAGCCTTCTTTTCCTTCGATACATTTACTGGGGAGAAACTGTTTATTGCCCTCCTCAGTGTGTAATCAGTGACGGCCCCAGATTTTTTCGCCCACTGGGCAAGGAAACATTCTGGCGCCTCCCATGTGGGGCAGGACTGGGATGGGTGCCGGAGCTACAGCGGGTGGGCCGAGGGGAGCAAATGCATGCGGGGGGGGATCGCTCAAGGTGAGGGGGCCTGTGCCAGGCTGCAAAAGGAGCACCAAAGAGACCGCGGGGGTGGGGTGGCAGAGGGCGAGCTGCACTTTCCATTCGTTACGGGCTGTTCCCTGTGCCTGTCCCCCCCGCCAGTGTTTCCCCTAAGCTGAGTTAGTGTGAGCTAGCTCACAGTTTTTTAGCCTCTGACTCACACATTTTTGTCTTAGCTCAGGAAGGATGGCTCCAGAACAAACTAATTAATGCAGTAGCTGAATCACTCACAATTTTAATGCCAGTAGCTCACAAAGCAGAAATTTTGCTCACAAGACTCCACAGCTTAAAGGGAACATTGCCCCGTCTCCTTCTCTTTCTGTCTGGGGAGCTGCAAAGAGGGGAGTCTCTTGCCGGGGATGGAGCAAGAAGCCGGCAAGAGAGGCTTCCTGTGTGGGGCAAGAAAGGGACGAGGCCGGCCAGAATGGCACCCTCGTCAAGCCGTTGTCCTAGGCGACAGTCTAAAATTTAACAATAACGGGCCAGCCCTGTTTGTAATCCTCTTGGCTAGTAGACAGGAGAGATTCAGCTACTTTTACCGCATGAATCACTCAAAAGACTCAGGACTTTAAGGCTCCTATCAGCACCAGGGAAGGGAATGTGAGTAAAGTGAACCTTTGGATGCATAAGGAGTTGAATAAAGTTGATTCCAAATGAGTGAAGACTGTGTTAAATACTTCGTTGTTCTCAGAATCAGCTCAGGCTACCCATTGCTGACTATCTAAGGAAATGATTCTTCCTAACTAGAAATAGGAAGAACCAGCCATCTCAAAAGAAAATGCATCTTCACAAGAATCTGGCCCAATCAGGATGCTTAGGCTATAAGTAGCATTTCTATTCATAAACTGTTATTCTGAGTATTATATTTATATTTAGCAGAATGACTTCTGCAGATGGCAGCTAAAACCATATGAAATAAAGGTAAACCATATGCAAAACAATCAATTTCTTCCCCTCTGTACTTCAAATTAAAAACCAGACAATATGGATAGAGAAGAGGACTTCCGGCAGAACGGCGCAATGATGTGGGCAGCATTCAGGAGCTCCTGACCGCTCACGTCCTTCCACGCTTCTTTTTGGGGTCCTGAGGCTGTGTGGACCTCAATGGACCTCACCCGTCTACTTGGAGGGAAGTCGGGCAGCAAGAGAATCATCCGGTTACCCCAGGTGTACCAGAGACTTTCTTGATGCGAGAACAGGGAATGGAGACAAGCATGGCTGCCATGCTTGTCAGAGGAGCTGCAACCTCCGCCTTTTAAAAACTTTTTTGGATTAAAAATACAAAACACAGCAACAAGAATGAGTGAGTACATGTATTCTCACTTTTGAAACAGTAAGGACCCTTAATTCGCGACCCTAAATGGACATGCTCCAATTTGAAAGGGAAACTGGCTAAGAAGAGAACGGGAATTAAAAGAGGCACATAAAATCTTTGTTGGGGGATTGGAAATGCTATTTGTCGGAGAATGCGATACAATAAGAGTGAGTTGGTGTTGTACAGTAGTACCCTGTATGGAATGAGAAGATAAATGAATTATAAGCGGTGGTCTAAACGGCATAGCTGAATAAGAAAATGGCGTTGGTAGCGGAGATCGAGGAGGTTGTAATAAGTAAAGTTGAGGAAACAGATGATTTTGAAAATAACAAAATTGGTAGTCTCACTCTGGAACAATTCCGTAAATTACTCTGTGATGAAATCCAGCAAGCGGTGGAAGTGGCTTTTAAAAATCTTGCTGGGAACCCTCCAGATAGACAGCCAGTCTTGCAAAATGAGGAAATTCTTTTACAGCCCTTATGAAACTCGGAGGAAGAAGAGGATTATTTTCAAGTGAAGGAACTACAGGACATTTATTCCCTAACTGGGAAAAAATGGGAAGTAATATGAGACAAAAAAAGGACTTAAAAGACTCAATAAGACACCCTGGGAAGCTGAAACGGACAAGAAGAGCTTTTCAAAAGCGATCGTATAAAAGAACAATTATACAGGCTAAGAGATGGAAATGGGAATTAAGGGAAAGAAATCAACCCTGACTGTTCCCTGGAAGGCCAGATAATGAAACTGAAGCTCAAATACTTTGGCCACCAAATGAGAAGGGAGCACTCACTGGAGAAGACCCTGATGCTGGGAAAGATTGAAGGTCAAAGAAGACGGGGACGGCAAAGGATGAGATGGTTAGACAGTGTCATCGATGCAACGAACATGAAATTGAGCCAACTTCAGAGGACGGCGGAAGACAGGAGGGCCTGGCGGGAGATGATCCATGGGGTCGCGAAGAGTCGGACTCGACTGTGCGACTGAACAACAACAAAACAGAGCCAATAGAAATATGAAATTTGAAATAGGAGACCTGAAATGGCAAATGCTGGACTTAAAGTTTAAAGTATACAAAGAGAAACAACATTTAATAATGATTATATTAAAAAAGGTGCCTTAGAAAGAGTTTTTTTCAGATAGGATTGCTGTTAAGACCGATATTTCTACCTATATTTTTGCTTCAATGTATTTATTGAATCCATACATAGGTTTATAGCAATGATAGTTGGGTAGGGTTACTATAACCAACCAAATAAATTGGGGGAAATAGAAGGAAATGAAAATTGGAGAATGCTTGAAAGATTGCTTGAAAGGATTAATCACTGGCAAGCTTAAAGAAATATGATTTATTGTAGTGTATTAATATAATGAAATAAATATGTTTAAAGAGATGAAGAGGAGTGATTATGTAATTATGGGTTAGAACTGTGAAGGAACAGTTTCGTGTATCTTTTATGGCTCCTCTTTCTAATGCTTAAAACATTTCAAGTAAAGCCCATAAGAAGAAGGATGGAGGAGTTAAGGGAATAATGTAGTTGGTATTGTTGTTCTATAGGATGATAGTTGTAGTTCGTAATGCTATTCTATAGGGTGATAGCTGCCTTCAATATTATTATTATTATTAGTAGTAGTAGTAGTAGTATTGGGTTTTTTGTAGGTTTATATATATATATATATTTCCTTAGATATTAAAACAAAGTTGGTTGCAATATTGCATAATATTACAGATGTAATCTTTAGGAACCCAGAGGAAAAGCAATTGGATAGAAAGACAGAATGTTAATTTCAAGATTATTACAACAAAGTGATTTTGTCAGATTCTATAATTAATGGGTACACTGTTGAATGGAACTTTTTTTCTTTCTCTCTCTGTTTCTGTTTTTTTTATTTTATTTTTTTCATTGAAAGTACGTGTCAAAAATCTTAAAGTTATATTTTTTGTAAAGGAAAAGACAAAATATTTAACAAGTGATTTATTGTTTGATGCTGTGTTGGATATAAGAATACAGTATCTCTTTTCTGTTCTTCTTCTTTGGAAAACTAATAAAAAGAATTTTAAAAAATATATGGATAGAGAAGATTTGCAGCTGTGAAACATAATCCTATGGTTGTATGCAGTATAATCTAATGAATGTTTATTCAGTTAAACCCCATTGTGTTCAGTGGATTACTCATAGTAAGTGGGCACAGAATTGCAGCCTTAGATTAGATTCCTATGGAATTCAGGGAGCTACAGCTCTGAGGGGAGATAACAATTTTCCTTGACAGGAAACAGCAAACAAACACTTTCACAAGTTTAAATTTCATCTCACATTTGTTTTTAAAATGTAGGGGATTAGTTGGGAGCTGAAGAGGCAAATCAAAGTCTTGCCACTTTCATGTGTTTTAACAAAATCTGTGTAAACCTATTTCCTT